TCTTTCCCTTTGATTGGTTTTTAATAAACTATTTTGGTGGATGCTATCGACATGCTTTTGTTGCCTGTCTTTACCAATAAGACAGGAAGGGTTTGAATGTTTAAAAAAGAAACCAAAAGAAAACCACAACAGAGAAAGAGGAATGTGGAGGATGTCTCTGCTTCAGCCTTAAACACACAAATCGAGTCAGAACAACCTAAGAGGTGTCTGTTTCATCCTTTCTCTCTACAGAGAAGGTGAGCAAAGAGCACACTCACACGAAAGAAAACACCATCCGGACGACCACCAGGTAGGCCACTGTGGAGTCCCCTCGGAACACTCCCTCTGGGGGCCTTGAGGCCCACGTCACAGTTGGAGCAACATTCCTCAAACCGTTCTCTCCCACTGGGTTCAAAAGTCACCCCTTTATCATCATTTTGTGTTTGAACTTTGGTTGGTGGAAACAACACAAAACGCAAAGGACACCAAGGGGGAAGGCCATTCACAGTTATTAAGCTTCTAAATGTGTCACTTTGCTGGAGAGTTTTCCTTATGCTATTATTTTTTATTCCTTACAATGATTGTGTGAAAAAGTAGATAATATTATCCTCTTGGCAGAAGTTTCCTGACCGGAGAGTTGAAGTGGGTGGCAGGGCTGTATTTGGGAGCTGGGTCTGTATCTCAGGAAAGCCTCAGTCGGTGGGTAGACCGAAGTTGAACTGTGTTCCTAAGTAGCTTTGCAGCTGTGGACTGATAACTTGTCACCAGGGACATCCCAGCTTTTTAACTCACTGCATTGTTAGGAGGGCAAAAGTGTAAAAAGCAGAAGAAAGAAAATGCTTTCAGAAATTGCAGGAAAACTGACATCACTAACAACTGTAGGTTAAGGAAGCTTTCCATGTGCCAAAGAGAGTTTAAGAGAAGGCCAGCCAGGGTGGGCTGCCCATCAGTCTGCCGCCTGAAAGGAAAAGGACGGGTCAGTACTGCCACCCACCCTGAGGCTCGTAACCACCCAGACCTGAACTGTTGCAGGCAGGTGCCAACAAGTGCAGACCCACCTCTGTGGAAAGGGAGCTCAGGGGAGAGGCAGTCTCCCCCTTGGCAGGCTTTAAGTCAAGGAACTTTACTTTCCTGAGCAAACTTAGATTCTTCCTCCTGAGAGCCGTTGCTTGGTTTTGTGATTTAATTCTTGCGATGGAAGATCAACAGTGTTTTTCCTTTGGATGTGATATGAGTCGACCTCGGACCATCACCGGGCACATGAATGGTGTTCATTTCAACACCGTTAACGCGAGTTTTTGCTTCTTTTTAACTCTGTGAATCGGAATTTGGGACTATCAAATATTAAACAGTAAGGGAAATGAGTCTTTCCATCTGGTCTGTGCGTTGTGTTGGGAAGTGGGTCTGGGGGATGGAGAGGGGACTTTGTCTGTACAGTTGGATGCCCAAGTAGGAGATGTGAGCTACTATAGATTCCAGCCTGCCTTCTCCATGTAGTCCTAAGGCTATTTTTTTTTTTGGTGTCTATGCTTATGTTCGTGAGTCTAAACACATGAAATGGGCCAGATTGGTAGACCTCGAAAGACGGCAGATTAAAAATAAGAGGTGTCCATTTTAAGTTGCTTCCCTAGGCTTCCTGAAGTGTCACAGGTCAGGTTCCCTAGAAGCAGAGCCCAAGACAGGGATCCCTGTGCGGGTGTGTTATGGAGGGCGTGCTCTCAGAGGGACCTGCAGGGATGCGATGGGGCTGGAGAGGGAAGGGGAGCTGAGCAAGGATTCTAGGGCCGGTTGTCTCTTGCAGAGAATTCTGGGGCATGAATTGCACCACAGAGTAAACCCTGCCTTGAGTTGGTCCCCCCTCATTATCCACTAACTTCATCAGGGGATGTGTAGCCTGCCAGGTGAGGGGGGCTCCAACAGTGAGGGCAGTTCTCTCTACGAGCAGCCAGCAACCCTGGGGATGCGGGGTGAGTGCACCAGTGCGGTAAAGGGGATCTGGGCAGGACCCCAGCCCCATCTCCTATGGAGGCTTTCTGCTGGCTCTTTAAGATTACGTGATAATATTTACCTAGCAGAAACGTATGCTGCGAGACCCTGTTATTATGCTTTTCTGGTGTTCTCTGGGATGAGGTAAGAGGAGGTTTGAACTAGCCCCAAACAAGTGAAATGTACAATACCTCCTAGCCTCGGTTGCCTTGGCTGGAGCTAGAGCATAATTACAGGATAGAAGAGAGGGGTTTTTTTTAGCCACTTGGCAAAAAACGAAGCAATCCTTAAATTCTGCTGTTGCTGGGAGATTGTGCGTAAGAAGAGATCCAAATCAGATCTTTTGCCCAAAGCAAAACAAGAGGTGCTTCCTATGAGCTTCCCCACCCCTACAATGTGGTGTTCAGAAATCAGTGTTATAGGTTTCTTGGGTTATTGTTCTACAAAATCCTTGGTGTGTTTTTATTTTTCCTTTGAGTAGGCAACTTGCCCAATTAGCCTCTCCTCAAAGAGATCTCTTTTTACCTTCTCACCTCATTACTTCAGGTGGAATAGAATCAAGCTGCCTTGTGCCAAGAAATCCTCTTTAACCTGAGTTAACCGATAGCAGAAATAAGGGGAAAAAACACCAACCCTCTTCTTTTTTGATCCCCATTTTGGAAGAAACTCTTATTTTTGGAAGAGGTCTGCACAAGGTCAGCTAATAGGGTTATGTTTTAAGGTATGATCTGTGATACTTTCCAGAAAGATTTACATTGAGCCTCCAACTTCCCATACCTCCAGATTTTTTAAGTACTTAGTGGGATGTTTGGTTAGTTATCAGATTTCCCACATTTGATTTCCTGGATGAAGCTGACTGTCCAGAGCGATGGCTCATCATGGGAATCAAAGTTTGGAATTGTCCATGTTTCAGAGTTGCTGGGCACATTTAAGATAGTGGACTTGTGAAGGGCAGCCTTGGATGCCGGCCTCAGCGCAGTATTGAGATCAGGCACTTCCAAATGCTGATGGGTGCCTGAGCCCTTCCACTCAGTGAGATCTGCCTCTGGGGTCTGGAGATCCAGGGGAACCTGAGGAGAAAAGAGATGTGCAATGCTGAAAAAAGAGACTGATTCTCTCCGATTCTCTCTCTGTCCTTTATCAACCCACAACTTTCCCCACTGTTGTTAATCATTATTAATCTTGACTCTCATGGCAAACACAAGAATGAAGAAAAAGTGTAGCAACCCAAGTGTGAAACACTCTGTCTCTGGCAGTTCCAATGTGTGCTTACCAATAAGATATGGGGGTGCTGGTTTCCATGCCCGGGCACCAAGGCAACAGGAAGCCCGTGGATGTGCGTACAGGTAACTCCCCATCCCGTAAGGGCTGATGACTGCACCTCTGTCCTCATCCAGTCCTCCCTCATCACAGCTGTCCATTGGCCATTCTGCTCTTTGTTAATTCCTCGATTATAAGATGGGGAGACATGGAAAGAGAAAATGATGTTGGACAGCATTCCTTGTTAGCCATTTTTTTTTTTTTTTTTATTGCGGTACGCGGGCCTCTCACTGCTGTGGCCTCTCCCGTTGCGGAGCACAGGCTCCGGACGCGCAGGCTCAGCGGCCGTGGCTCACGGGCCCAGCCGCTCCGAGGCGTGTGGGATCTTCCCGGACCGGGGCACGAACCCGCGTCCCCCGCATCGGCAGGCGGACTCTCAACCACTGCGCCACCAGGGAAGCCCCATTAGACATATTTTGAAAGAAGTTCTAGGTAAAGCTAAGGGTTGAAACTAATAACTAGCAAGTTTCTGGATCATTGGCTCTTGACCTCATTTTTCAAAAACTCTTACAATGGAAAATTTAAACGGATACAAGAACAGAGAATGTACCCGTGATCGAGTTTAAATAATTATCAATTCATGTTTCATCCATCCCTTCCTTTTGTTCTTCTTCCCCGTAGATTATTTTGAAGCAAATCCTAGACATCATTGGAAGAACTGGTTTGAGAACGCCTTTTTAAAAAATTATCCTAAGAGCTTAGACTCAGCTGCTTCAATTAGGATCATCTTCCCAAAAGTAAAGGAGAAAACCATCCACCAGGGTATCCCATGTGGCCAGGCAGAGAAATCAATCTACTTAGCAGCCGGGATGATTGGGTCCCATGGTCCTGCTCACCAATGCCTTGACCCTACCCTTCCTTCCACCCTTGTCTGTGCCCTCCTAGGAGCACCTCCATTGAATCAGTCCTTCAGATGGAGCTTCACTGTAAATGCTAAACAGCAGTTCGTCTGCCTGCTTAACCTCAGAGTCTAGAAAATTCAACCTAAGTGTAAAGAAGTCTGTGCGTCCCCTTTGAGATAGCCGGTGGCATTCTTAATGCCATTCTACCTGACAAATGAGATGGGGAGAAAGTCCGCCCAGTCCCATGAGAACAGAAGGACTGAATGCTTAAGAGACTGATGCAATCTTGATTTTTCGATTTCCTTTCCCAGCACAACCCTAGGTTCTGCTGGGAGCAGATAACCAGCTAATATGATCATTTGTAGTTGAAAATATATGAGGCATGATATCATAACCAGATCCCCAAGTCTAATGGAATAAAAAGAAGATCTACATCTTCTGACATGGACCATCACCCAGCCAGATGCTGGATAAGATCGAAATAGGAAAGTGGAACCCTAGAGTAAGAATCAGATAGCTCCTGGCAGGTGAATTGGACATGCTCGATGTTGTGTAACACCGTGAACTTCAAACAACGGCTGCCAAGAACCCTCTCTTGGTTATTTGTTCTCTCTCTTCCCCATTAATAATTCAGCGTCCATGGGGCTATAAGATTGCAGGCCTATAAGAAAACTTCTCTCACCTGGCTTGCTCTATTCCAAAAGCAAGGAAGTATTTACCTGAATTGGTTTTTTCTCCATTACTAGACAAAAAGCAGAAGTGGGAAAATCAGAAAGGTAGAGTCCTATCATGCTGTGCCGACCAACATTTAATTTGCCCAATTTTCAGAATTTGAAATGTGGGCTATTTTTCTGTGATTTAGATAATGGCACTTACAGAGTTTACTAAAAGACATACGTACTTGGATGTGTCCAATATAGAATTTTCCTGTGTGATTGTTTGGATGCCTGTCCTTAAATATTTATGAGTCAGTAATAGAAATTGCACAAATTTGTAAGAGCGTGATGTGCTGCTGCAATTTGTGCAGTTTCCCCTTTTCATTTTTTTAGAAGGCATAAGAGAACAATGCTCCATTACCTTAAGAAGTAAAAGATTACACATACAGAACACTGGATTAGATGGAAGCAATTAAGAAAATAAGCAGGAAACAGAGCAAATGAAA